AAGAGACCACAAGAGGACACTATGGTGCCACTTATATTTAAAATTTATTTACTTCAACGAACTCTGCCTCACTTGTAAAATTACTCATGACTGTATTTGATATGTGGAATAGCCATTTCTACAAAGATACCTTACTCTCATCTTTAGTAACTGAAAAGTTACTAAATCTTCGAGATTTTTTTCTTTCCCCCCACTCAGATTCTGAAAATTCAGATAAGAAGAACTGGATCAAAGTTTTTTCCACTAAACTTGTTAAACATGGCAGTAGTTTTCAGGGTAGGATTAAGATGCTAGAGAAATACTACTCAGTGGTTTGTTGTCTTTTTTTCTTTTTTCCTTTTTTTAAGGGATCAATTTTCAGTTCAGTTACATTTTTAGCATGACTAGATTTGTCATGATCTGTTGAAGTTTTTAACAAAGGGCTCAGAAGAAACTGAGCGCAGGCTTAGACAAGGTTCTTTAGATGTTGAGTTTAACTACAGGAAGACACTCAAGAAAGTTAATCCAAATGGACTTTTTAAAGCTGTATTAAACTTTTTTCAAATGTTTGTATTCCAGACTAAAGGGAACTTCTTTTGATTTATCTGATGAAACCTTCAGTTTTAATCTTAGCTATTTTAATCTTTATTTTGTTTCTCAGCAACAACCCACAGGGGAACTTGAATTCTTGCTTCCTGGGCTCTGTGCTTTTCTTTCTTTGCAGAACTGGTGAAAGAAATGCTTTATGAGAACAGTAAAACCAGGTGCTGAGAAGGGGCTTCAGAGAAACTTACCTATTATATAGGAGAAAGAATTACCATTATGAAGTTTACAAAACAATTTAGGGAGAAGCAACAGAAGCAGAGCAAAATTAAGTGCCCTCTCATTTGTGTTCTGATCCTTACAGATGGAGCCTTGATTAGAAGCAGCAGCATTTCTGTGATGTAAGCTAAATGCTAATCTTTGTTTACTTAGGTTTTTTGTAATTTTCCCACACACACACTATTTGTTGACTTGTGACAGAAGCAGCTGAACCAAGTCTAATAACTCTCTGAGGTCACAGCTTTAGGGAAGAGGAGTTGTTTGTTGCTTTTACTTTGCAAGGAAAAAAAAAAAAAACTTCATAGGTTATAATAATTTCTCAGACAGTGCAGTCATTTGGGAAAAGAACTGCCACCTTTGCAATTTGAGTACCAGGAAGTGGAACAGGGTACAAACAGCTCATTTGGTAATACTGGGCCAAGTGACTGAGAGGTTCTAGCTCAGTCACCAGAGATCCTGGACATCTGTGAAATACAGAAATGGGACAAAAATTATTCTCATTGGCACAAATTTTGGTTTTCCTCTGACAGAAATTACATAATGAACTTATAAATAAATATGAAGGTTAGTAAAAGCTTTTCCATTTCTCTCATTTCAAAAGTTAAAAAAGGAAAATTGTAGGAGCACCAAACACCCGCCACCATCTCAAGTTGTTCTATGTAGATATAAGGTTTGTAGGTAAGATATCAAGACAAAAATCAAGACCAGCTTAAAAAAAAGAATAGTTCTTGGAATGCTGAGTTAAACCTTCCAAAATGCCCCAAGAAGAGTTATCCAGCATCCTAATCTGTCCTGAAAACAGTTCAGCAGATCCACTAACACACTGCTCAGGGTCTGTGAATTAAATTGAACAAATATTAAGAGCAAATAAAAGCCACTTTTAGCGGGAAGATTCTTTTGGTTTTTGTGGTTTTTTTTGTAGTTTAGACATGTTACATTTTCAAAATTTGAGGCCATTTGATCATTTCCATATGTATAAAACAGAGAAGAGTGAACAGAGGAGCTGCTGCTTTCAATAGCAAATGGAAGAAATCCAAGTTGCTGCAGTCTCACTGCTTTTCCGCTCCTCCCCTCCACTTGGACTGAAATGGTTAACCCACTCACTGACATGATCAGCATCACTTGAGGGAAGAAAACAGTTTTCAGCCAGATCAACTCCCTGAACCAGCTTACTGGTAGTGAACACAAACACCAGCAATGTCACAAAGGACAGGAGAGAAAACATGTAGCGAAGAAACAGGGTAGGACTGCAGCAGCAGAAGTTGACAGTGACATAAACTGCTATGGCCCTGTGCCTTAGTCGGTGATGGAGACGCAACGATACCCAACTTCAGAAAGTTGTTTCTGTGGCACAGGTGCCCACTGAACCTTATGTTTAAGATCAAACAGAAGTTAATAAACTTATATTTTTACAGGTGGTTAGACTTAATGCACAATGTTTGCTGACCTTGAAACAGAAATATGCTGGCATATTGCTTGACCACCTCAATGACATGCAAGGAGGAATGCAGGTGTTAAGCGCCAGCACAGTTCAGGAGTCCATATTCAATGTAAAACATGCAAAAGTCCTTCCATGGCCCAAACAAGTCACCTACTGAGAAGTTATATGTGTGAACTGAACTACTCAGATTTTGCATACCAAATCAGCTGTATATGTTAGACCAGCAATAGACTTTTAGGCTTGGTTTAGCATCACCACTTACCCAGAGGAGACAACTGAGAATTGAAGTTGTTTATTTCTGTGGATAATATAGCCCATTAGTCTGGAAAAGCATAGTACTGGGGGAAGCATCAACCTTTTAGAATCAAATCAATAGTCTGCATCAATATTATGTCTGTAGCTTTTGGCTGTTCACATCACACATGCAAAAGCATGAGCCTTGGATTGTTAAAGTTGCCCTGAAGTTTGGGTCTTCTTTAGAAAATCGACCTAAAGTACTTCACAGTACATCAATTTTGAGATTTGCAGAAATAGTAATAACTATTTTCAGAATTCATGTTAGCACAACCCATTATTTAGAAGAGGTAAATACTGACTTGCATTCTTCCATTTGACAGCCAACAAAGCTAATTACAGAGTTGGTACCTCAATTATATCTGATACTGCACCGATACTACTAGCCATAATAGAATCTGTCAGTTGAGCTAGCATGCATTTCAAATTACCAATGCAAATTGCTCTTATTAATCGGTGCAGGGCAATGGCATTCAGTTTCAGGATGAATCATTCTCTCCAGTGGGAGGCAGAAATCAGAGTGCAATCATTTTATGCTTGAGCTGTTAGAAGTGCAATGTTGTGACTACTACTACCAGCTGCTCTCAGTAGGACTGGAGACACTAGCACTTAGACTGAAGGGTCACTAGAGTTTTTCTGACAGCAGTAACAGCCATATCTTACATGATTTTACTTCTGAAATGGAATTTTAATGAGATGCCTTTCTACTGTGTTTCAAGCTGTGTGATTCTGGTCATTACTTGTGTCTATTAGATAAACTGGAGACCATGTGCATAATCATTGCGAATGCACAAGATTCCATTTCTTCTTTGATGATTTTGCACTCTGATGTTGCTTTCACACAGGCAGCTTATTGGAAACATTCTGAAATAACACTGCAACTGGTAATGGGAAAAGGGACTACTAGATCATCACACATCTGTGAGAAATGCTGTGAAGCAAAGATTATCCTAACTTTGGTGCCAGCAACCTGTCTAGTTCCCCATAAACCTTGTTCTCTATGTCTTGACTAGCTTGGCCCTTAAGTGATTTGCTGCAGGAAACACTGTCCTCGTGGACTCACTGCAATGACTGAGTCATCCATGTTCCCTTCCCATAAGCACTTGCTCAGACTTCTCTACAGCTTAGGCGTTATCTGAGTGAAGATGAGGCTGGCTGCCTACATCGAGGATGAGGATGCTCTATGGTTAAACCTACCTGATGTTCTCCTGCCTGCCATGAGGGAGGCTACCTCCCCTGTGAAGCATTGACCCAGAGCCCATATGATACCCTAGCCTTCCTTCTGCAGATGAGTTGCATGATTCTTTCAGGGTTTCCTAGAGTTCCAAATATTTACACTGTTTTGTGAAATTACACCAGTATCTATACACAGTTTTAAACGATATTTTATTTAAATTTCATGTATATGTTTTGCCACAAAGTTACAAATTATTAATTGCACAGAGCAGTCAAACAAATAAGTGCAATACACTATAGATAAAAAAAGAAAATAAATGACAAATACCTATAGGATGATGTAATCTGTCATATAAAAGTATTATCCATATCTTTAAGAAAAGGAAAATATTTTTAATCCATGCTGTAGTATGGAAAAAAAGCAGAAATAAGTGGGCAGGAAAGTGACAACGCAGTAGAAAGAAAAAGGCTGGAAGGAGTAAGGAAGCATTTTTCATTTCAAATACGTAAGTCACGATCACAGTACTAATTCTGTGAAAAGATACCATGGATAGGAGTTTTTCAATGGCTTGTGAAGTTATTTTCAGAACTACTGATGGGAATTAAAAATTTGCTGTACTGAATTCATCATTTTACCAGTAAAACAAGTTCTGATGCCAGTCAAGCAGTGTCAGGAAGGCCAGATTTCTGAGTCAGTGTAGTAATTCCCCATTGTAGGTGCATAACCAGGATCAGTATTTATTGAGAAACTTGCTTAAAAACTTGTCTTGTATGCAACTTGATTATTCAACATGATTTGTAAAGAATTCAGTAAGTGGCAGTAGTATACTCAGAATATACTTACCAAGGAGACAACCTTATTAGATGAATTAATGAAGCTTCATTTTGAAGCAATAAAAAACCAGTCTTTTTCCAGAAACCCTGGAAGATGCAGAAATGGATGGCAGGAAGAGTCTCAAGTGACTCTAGAAAACAACTGACTTGCTGTTTCTATTCTGTTCATGCTTAGCCTTGTCTTTCAGTTGTTAAATACTTTGTGTGTTTACAGATTATGTCCTTAGATCAATTACAGGACTTCTATTTTATACTAAGGCTAGATTCTGTAGATGTCATATCAGTAAATAAAAGCACATTATCATGGGATAAAAATAACAATTAACAGGAAATATCATGAGAAAACATTTACCAGCAAGCACTGGGAAATGACCCTACAAAGATGCAGTGCTGCTATCTTACAGTTTCGTCATCATCAGAATGATGATTGAATGAATTATCATTCAATCTCAGGATTATTTGATTAAAATTCCAGGTTTGAGCCATATTAGCCTACCAAGATTAGGCCTATCTCAATGTATGTTCTTCTGTATAACAGTGGCTTCTAACCTCACATACCTTGTGTATTTGAAAACGTGTTCCAAAGGCTGAAACAGCAGAAGATTTATAATAAAAATACTTCTTTCTAATCTCATGCCTGTTAATCATTTGACAGTGGTCTGATTTTAGCCAGCTAGAATAAAAATAAAATAATAAAACCTGTTATTGATAAGGATCACTGTCCAAATGTGAAAAAGATTTCCACAAAGCTGTGGAACAGTCTAAAAAAAATTTAATTTAAATACTCATTTTATACTTTTCAGACTGCAATAAAAATATCAGAACAAAATCTTACCCTCTGAGTAGCCAGAATTCCTACTTTGTCCTGGCTTATTCTTGCTCCCAGCTTCATGAACAGGCAGCAAACAGCAGTCCCCAGATTACAGAAATGTATCTACACCATTGCCTGGTCACCTGTACCTGAATGCAAGACATCTGCCTCCACCCTTCAGTAACTCTCCAGTTGCCCACTGTCCTGGTCAGGGTTCAAAAATAAGAGTTTAATACTGCAGGATGGATCCCTAAAGCTAGTGGTAAGCATGAAATCCAAACTGAAATAGCCATGTCATCCATCTTGTCATCTTAAAAAATAAGCAACAAACCGAAAAAACACCCTTGTACATATACCAGGGCAGTGGCCTTCTCTGACTAAGCCATTGACTGATGATGAAAGTTGTCTGATTTAACAAGTAATATCTGAAAACATCTCAGCACAGGTGTCTTATTCATGTTCTCTAGTTCCTGTGTGGAACTGCCGATTCTGGACTCAAGTACTTATACCAAGTCCAACAATATGGGTACCAAAACCATGTGTCACATATTAGAGAATTTATTCATTAAATGTGAATACTTTCCATTAACAATGTTGATCCTGGTTTAGCCAAGATGACACAGAATTTATGACTTCAAATTCTGAATGCTTTTGCTACAGCATTTAAAATCTACATTAACTTTCAAGTATACAGGTGAATTTATAGAAATTACAGAAAAAAATCCAGCATAGCTTTACATAGCTTTTTAAGATAACTAGTTGCATTGCAGATTACTCCGTATATCTCTCTCTAGACTCCATAGATCTTATGATTCAAAATACAGTATTAAATTTGATACAGTTACAAGTATCAGACTGAAAGGTTGTGCCACAGAAGGAAATCCAAAGGACCTGACTGTCTGAAGCTGATGATTACGTAGGTCTAGGCGACAGGAATTTTGTACTACTTCTTGCGGAATTTCACTTTCACCTACATCCATTAGTCCACTCATGTTCCGCACCTAGAAAAATTGAAAAGGTTGCCCGGAAAGTCAGACTGGAACAGCAGCAAAAAGCTTTATGCAGCTGGCAAATTCAATGCTATTTCAAGTGAACCAACTTGACCTGTATTGCAGAAACACATCTGAACATGAGGAAATCAACATCGTTATGCTGATGTTTCTATTCCTATGAAACACTTCCCAGAATTCAGTACAGATACATTTCAAGCAAGTCACAGTCTAGCTGTTCTTTGTCTTGGCTCCCTCCACATATGGATGCATTAGCTGGAAAACCTTAAGCAATCAAACTTAAGAGCTTTCTTCCCAAAAGTCAGCTCACAGTCTCAAGACAAAAGCTTCAAACATCTTTAATTTAGAAGGAAAAATATTATGAAATCTCACAGATCAGTTAGGTGCAATGAATTTCAACCTCTTCATAATGTCAGTCTGCCAGTGTGCAACTCGGCCTTAAGTAGATATTTTGGCAGATTAACTGAAACGGTACAAAATTGCCAGGTTTCTGCTCATGTAACATACTGCAAAAGGGCAACTGGAAAAAAGATCACTATGAAATATATGTTGTCTATAAGGTTTTGTGTGTGTAATATCTACTTACTTATCCCTGTAAATAAAACCAGCAGGAGGCAAGCATTTTGCAAGTTTCAACAGAGGCTTTTGAAAAAGTTACCATTTAGGATGTCACTCTCACAGTCTCTCTCCTCTCCTCTCCTCTCCTCCCTCATCCTTCTGGATTAGCATCTACCATTTACACTTAAAACTCGTTGTGACCTAGTTGTTATGTTTATGGCTTGTTAATGATCTGGTCATGGCAGGAGCCTTTTGGATAGCAGCCCAATCCCATGACAAGAATTAAATTGATTTGCAGGAGTCAGCATTCCTCACTGCCCCAGCGAACACGGGCAGACCGTGACGCTGGTACGTCCACAGTTTCTCCAAACCATGAAGTGATTCTATTTAGAAGTCATTGATGTGTACTTATCAGATTACCACCGAGAGAAAAAGCTCCAAAGAGCTTTGTCCACTCTCTCTCTCACTTTCCTTTATTCTGCTAACACTCTCTTGCCATCTTGGTTTCTTTCCCAGCATTTGGAATTACTGAATTAAGTTCTTACATTCCCTCATAGCTCTCTCATTGAGAAAAACAAAAAAAAAGGCAGTAAGGCACCAACAGTTCCTCTCTCCATCTTAGTAAGAATCAAGATTCAGTTTAGTTTTTAGTCTTACGTTTTCCACTTCTCTGAAGACACGAAGAAAGTTCTCTCTCAAGACCCCTTTTAGTTCAGTTCCAGTCCATCCTCTTCTAAGAAGTTCCTCAATCAAAGTAGGGTATTTAGAAACATCTTCCAATCCCTCAGGGAAACTATTGGCAAGAGTCACACAAGAACGTTCAACACACATCACTGAAAAAACGTAGAAGAATTTTAACATATTCACTTTTGGAGTGAGCTCACTTTGGATGCAATTCTTTCTCTGAGAAGTTAAAATAGTAATTAAGAATTCAAATGACATAAACAAAAGTAGGACTGGGACACAATGAAAGGCTTTTTCTGCACATAGGATCCCATTAGCAGAACAAAAGTGTATATTCTGGAATGCATATGGGCAGAACAACAGCATGGAGGGTATTAAAACAAAATAAAAACCAAACTCATGTATATGTTAATCCACTCTATATCTGGCCTTTAGAGCAAGAGGAAACAGCTGCATCACAGATGGAGTTGGTGCAATCCACTTGTGTAACTAAGAACAAAAGGGAACCTACAAACACATGATGAGCTGAGGAGTTGCCAGCAATTTTGTGTGTTCTGTCATTTACAAAGTAATTTTTCCAAAGAAAATGCACTTAGAATAACAACATTGTTTTGAATTCAACAGTTTAGGCAGCAAGAAGAAGGTTATTCAGAACCCTCTACTGAAGAAATTACAATAAGCAAAATTGACCTATGTCTTTTGCTAAGACTTGTCAGAATAGAAAGGAATTAGACCTAAGAAGCTGCAAACCCTTCATTAAACAGCTGTTTTAAATCGTATTTCCATGAGACTTTGAGATAAATAATATTTTCTGTTGTTTGTTTTGGGTTTGGTTTTTTTTTTTTATTTTCTGTGGAGGTGTGGTGAAAAGTATATCTCAAGAATTCTGTGCCATTACTTTCTACCAGGCCTTAGGACCTTAACAACTCCACCACCAACTAAACTGATGGTCTTTGCAAAATGCAAGCAATAAAATGTGTCTTTTTGTGGCAAACTACGTTTTTATTTTGGAGATTGTATTTTCAGAGCTATGATGAGCTAACTCTCATGGGAGCTGACACACTGTTTTTGTGGTCCTGATTTTCAGATCTGAGTCTGACTGTGACTTTCATACCCAAGTGTGTCCGATCTCAGGGAAAAAAAGAAAAAGATTCAACAGAAAGATAAAAAGTGAAAAACCGTTTAGGGTTATGCCAGCAAATGCACCAAATCTGCCTTTAATTACTGTGGTGTAACAACTCTAGCTCAGGAAGGAGCAGGAGAGATTGTTGTAGGCTATTCACCCAAGCCACAAAAGCAGGAGTGATTTTCAGAGCCCCAAAATACTTTGGGCTTTCCCCACTAGAAAGTAATAGTGGAGGAAGGAGCTTTACATTATGTCCCTGGCCTAACTCATTTGCCATCTAAAGGCTGAGGCAGCTTTTCTGTCATTCATCTTTGGCTTCTGGAGGAAAGCACCCTCCATCACTGCTCTTATATATGAAACCACTGCCTAGAACAACACAATTCCAGAGTTCACAGGGCATTAGGATCTGCTTCTACATTTGTAGCACTGCTTCATACAGTTCTAAAAAGGGATCATTATGCCCCTCATTCATAAAATTTGTTTTAGTACTCATAACAAGACAACTTGCTACAACTCTTTTAGTCTGGCTTTTTTTTTTTTTTTTTTCCCCCAAAGGAACCAAAACCTTCATCATTTAAGGAGCGGACGTCAATGTATGTACAATTTTACTAACCGTTTCACTCCATCATAGTCACCACCAATTCCTATTGATTCTGAGCCTGCAATTTTCTTTATGTGGTCAAAATGGTCTGAAAGAAATATCAAAGAAAACAACGTCTGAATGTCTGGCAAGAATAAATAATCCAGTTCAGACATATTGGCACTAGGAGACTGTTCTTAATCATGGATTCTTAATCAAATCCTTTAAAAAAAAAGTCAAAAGACATCCTGAGAATACAGGTTAAAATGTAATAATGCAGATGATATACTCTGAATATTTACTGATGCTTAACTAGATGTTATTAGTTATTAAGAACATCAGGCAGCAATCTTCAAAATAATAGCTACACTGATGAGATGCAAATGAAGAAAGAGACATGATTGTTACAGCGGGTTGATTCCACACATATACCAACGGATTTTTCATTACCCATTACATACCTGTGTTTTTCACTCTTAATTAGAAAGGTTTAAGATGTTTTCCAGAAAGTAACAACTACTTCGGGATTAATGGCTCTATTTGGGAGAATCATGTCCTCCAGTGACACACCTTGTATCTCTTGGTTTTGTGTAATGAATTAATGTTTAATTAGCTCTAAAAATACCTAGAGCTGGGGTAAGGTGTGGAAGGCAATAAACAAGCAGTGTAATTTACACAATTTCAGAAATTACACAGATGACAGGAACTTCACAGAGGCAGCCCACAAAAAATTAATATATTAACTTCAAACCTGCAAGGGTAGAAACATTAACAACTTTTCTGCCACAAGCCAGTACGTCTGCATTGAAAGTCACCATGATAATTCCCTTGTTCTTTTTCTGAAAGATATGAAGAGGCAGTTAATGAGTGGACACTCATGTGTGTCCTGCAAACCTCATGGGCATCTCATACAGATTCTTCTACATCCCTCTATGAGTGAGCATAACAACACTCTGTAAGTCAAAGCTCAAATGGCAACACAAGGCTTTGCCTCTGTCCTTTACTCTGTGTTCATGATATTCTCCTGTGGCTTGACTCAGCAGAAGTTCAGTGACTACGTCAAACCAGTCTCCACCAGATTTTCAAAGTATTTCAAAATACTTGGTTTTTTGTAGCCAAAGACAAAACACAACCTAAAGAAAACGTCTCAGAAACGGATGTGCAACTTGCTGCTCAGGGATCTGCTTATAAATCCAGTTCAGAGATGAGAAGGTGAAAACACCACAGCTTGAATGCATGTATGCCTCAGGCTAGCCAAACATTGCCATTAAAGCAAACAAACCAACCAACCAACCAACCAAAAAACCCAACAGACCCACCCCCCAAAACCCAAACCAATATTGCTCACCAGTTGCTGGAGGATATCATCAGGAACGTTTCTTGAGTGATTACAAATAGAAAATGCCGAGGAATGGCTGAAAATTACTGGTGCTTTTGAGATACTCAGTGCAGCTTTTGCTGTGAAATATGAAGTATGAGATAAATCTATCAGCATACCCAGGCGATTCATCTCCTTTACCACTTCCTAAAACAGATTAACAGACAGCAGTGTCAGTATCAAGTTTTCTTAAAGGAAACTGTTTAGCTGATAATACTAAATAGTAAATTCTTCAGCTGTTAGTTAACCATAAACATGCGGTGCCTGTATGGGTTTCTATTTACTTATTAATTTAATAGTAATTTATTCACTCACAGTTAACAAGCACACCACCACGTGCTCAAAACTTAGATAATTTAGTCAATGTAAAAGAATTTGAACTGTTATTTACATCTCACTACTTCTGCATACTAAGTAATTCATCTGATCTGTATTAAAACAATTGTTATAATTAAACCTAACACTTCTTTTACCCTAAGGCACATCACAGGGAATTTGGTTTGACTGAACCCTCACCTCCTAACTATCAAGAACTGCCAGTAATTAATGACAAGCTGCTTTTTGAAAAGATAAGGCCAGAAGTTGTTAGTTGCGTGAGAGATTGCTTAGGTTAACTTTTGAAGAGATCCTTACTTGGCCAAATGCAGTCAGACCAGTAACACTGGGATAAAAGTTGTGTATTCCTTTAGATGATGATTCAGACCTTAAAAGGGGGAGTTAGGGAAGAGAAACATCATATTATTCTGGAGACTGCAATATCAGCAACTGAAACTTCTTATGCTACACACAATGTAATCATTACCATGTCACGCATAGCCAAACGTAAGGATAATGAGCTACATAATACATATCTTGTTCACACAGTGCTTTTTATGTTCATAACTGTTTTATGGATGTTATGTCTTCAGGTTCAGGACTGCTGTATATTTGGAAGCAATGCAAGACAAGCAAAGAGATGCTTGTCATAAATTTTCTGATTAAACAAACCTTCATCAGAGAACAAAGATACACTGAAATGTTGGTTACCTGTCAGTCAGAAAGCCTGCCTTTCAGCCCTCTCTGCACACAATTCCCCCTTCTCTGAGTCAGTACAAAGAGGAATTTTGTCAATCCAGCAAGGAGTAGGTTTTCATACTCTGATACAGGAACTAAGTACCCATCTCTCTAGCTGCATATGGGACTTGCACTTTTGAGCTGGCCAGAGGACAGCGTTGAAGGCGGCTGACTGCTGAGTTCTTACATAGCATTTACCCTCTTTTATCTACATCATATGCATTTTTACTACTACTTTTTTTTTTTCCTGTTTTGCCCCATGTGACTTTCCTAATAAAGCAAAGAGGATAGCAATTTTACCACCTTTGTGTTGTTAACGAGGTTTAAAAGTTTCCAAATTGCCCATGTAACACGCACTACATAACAGATCCTTCAGTCTCCCACTTGATACATGGCAAGTGATTCACCCCAAAAACCTGTCATCCTTGACTTGGTTCAGTCTTTCATAGGTGAACTCTTTGTATGAACCCATATTTTCCCCGTCTTGGAGCTGCCACCACTTTGCTTTAGATGGTCACACAAAAACATGCACATTAGTTACCAAGGTGTATTGCAGGTATGTGTTAAAGTCATGTAACGAACACCCAGGTCATAATACATCCTCAGTGTTGCCAGACTGCTGTCAATGGAGTGACCACCTTCTATTCCAATCAAACACGCGATCCTTATACTGTCAGAGATACCTGGAAACAACAAAGGAAGATAATTCCAAAGTAATTTCATGACAGATAGGAAGCCCGCACTACTGAGCAACAATTGTTATTGTCAATTGCAAGCAACAACACTGACGTTTTCATAGGACAGGAGCTTATACTAGTGCATGTTTATATGGCAGATTTTCTTGTGGCTCGGGTGGGCCAGGTCTGTGCACAGAGTCAGTTATTGTGGTTAAGTGGAAAAACTGAAGTGAAAGTTATTCTTGAAACATGATAACTTGCCTGCTTGCAGCTCTCTGTCTTTTGCACTCACCTCCTGCAATCCCATTTTAAAAAAATTTTTGTTACAAGAAAGAGCATCACCTTGGGAAGTTGTCACAAGTTCAAGCTCTTCATAGCTGTTACACATCCTCTTGACAACATCAATTTGCTCTAAGGTCAGACGCACAGCATCCTTGTTCTGAGCGCTGCAAAGAACATACACTGACCAAAACTGAAAGAGACATTGACAAGTAAACTAGATAACTTGTGTTTCAACTTGGAACCTCTCATTCGCTAATAGTGAAGTTCATGAGCATAGACCAAAATAATTTCTTACAGTTTATAAGGGAGTTGCCACTATAGTTTTTTTCCCCCCAGAGGAAGAGTATCCACTCTAGATGTGCTTAAAGCCTCCTGACACACTCAACTACTCCACAGTACATGCAGGAAAGGGGATGTAAGTTTAATTTATTTATCACAAAACAAATGCCACTGTTTTGGTTAAGGGCACCTGGATTATAAAACACAAACTTTTGAAACACAGATGTTTGCAGCTTTTCAGTTTTGTTGTTTTATTCTTCAACAGAAAGAGCCAACCAAGGCCAGGATTACATTTGTGATTGGGAAGGAGGAAAATGTAAAAAAATGTTCTCAGACTCGCAGCCATGGCAGTACATACCTGAGCTCCCACATAACCAGCCTGAAGTTTTGCAAGGTTTGTGTGGGTCATGTTGAGTTCTCTTAAGTTGACTCTACTGAGCATATTTTGGTAAAGTATTCTCAGCCGCAGTGCAAAGTCATTGTGGCTAGAATTAAAAACAAGTAGGGTTTGTGATAGAAATATTTGTTCCCCTTCTAACCCAAACGTAATTTCTTCCACTGTTCATATCCCCTTAGACTATTAATTGCCAATCCTTGCAGTAACATATGCTTAAAAGTTTCCCTTCTTTTGGAAACAAGATTTATTTCTTAATTAGAACGGTAAGAAACTTTTTTTGCTTCTCCCATTTTTATAGCTGTTACGCTTCTTTATCTATTTTTCTCCTACTCGTTTCTGAAGGAATGAGAGAGCTGAAATCAGCCACCGCACTCCTTAGCAGTCGGTACTTGTTGTAGAGTAATAGTGCTGCCTGTGCTAGAATAATCAGTGTCTGTGTTCCCAGATCAAATTGCACTCACCACAGACGTCATTCTTTCAAGGTATGAAGCCTATTTAGATCTGCACAGAAGTCATTGCTAATGAAAGATGCCATTAAATTACAGGAAGGAGACAAAAACATTATGTAAAGGGAAACAATTATTAAGTGGCGAAGCCTAACCAGACAATCACAAATGCATTTTAAATAACCTGATCCTACAGTAAGTACCCTCTAAACCAAAATTCCTTCCAGATAAATCACTGCAACAGTAACTGCCATGTGCCTGTAACAGCCTGCGTCTCTACTGATCCAAACACACTTTAGCGTTTCTTCCTCACTTGTCAAGATTCACAAAGAGGGTTTAGATGAACATATTTTATATACCCATCAATTAAACGTGCATCTTGCATCAGCTCAATAGCTCGCTCTCTCATTGATTTTTCATAGCTGAATGACACAATATCAAAGAACATCAATAGCCACAGCAACTTTGTTGTATTTCTCTTCATTTCCATTTTCCAGTTTGCTAAAGCAGAGATACCACAATTACTTGCTGATGACAATGAAACAGCAAAATTTCCAGTCTGCAGAGGCTGTAGGCTTAATAGTATAGGCACAGCTGAAATGCCTCTCCCTCTGGTAAGACTGGGGTGAATTCTGCAAGAGAAAAGAAAGAGAGAGAATAGTAAACAGAAGCTGCAGAAACTGCAAACCAGCTACCTTCTCCCAAAGATTTTAAGGTCTGGTTATTGGGGTTTTGCACATATAACCAACCACTCCTTAAACTCTGCTGCTGCCACCACCTGACTGCTGATGGGAACCAACTCCTCAGTCAGAGCTGGCAGGGTGAGCCCGATGGACCCTGGACTCATACCTCCCAAAAAGGAGCTCCCAGAACAGTGTAAGATAGTTTTCTCATTACAGTAACTGGTTTGTTCTCATTCTTTCATACTGAAATGAACACTGAAACAGTCTAAGAAATTTTAAAAATCAGCTGCTCTGAGTAAACTTGTTAAAACACCAAAGTGTTTTCAGAGGAAAGCTACTGAAATCCAAGAGTTTTCCATACCTTAGCAAGAGCAACATGTGCCAAACTTGAAAGGGTCACTTTATTTCCTTGAGGAAATGGGTGTGACAATTTCAAGAATAATCCAAGCACCCTCTGCTCTTTTTAAAATATAGTTCTCAAACATCTGGACAGCAGCCTTTCAGGTGTCAGTCTAAAAGCATTTTTACAAACAGGTTAGAAATACCTCCTGTTCAATGTAAAGTAAATAAAAGATCTGTAAGGAGGTGAAAATACCTTTGCAGGGAAAAGGTTGTGGGTTTTTTCCCCCCACATTCAGAGTTACTGGCAGCATTACCTAGAAAGCTGAGGAGCAGTCACCTCCTCCATCATTGGAGTGACATCCTAATTAGATGCATGTGTCCTGTAAATTATTTCAAATCAAATAAGTTTGGCTAGAATTTTAATATTGCAGAGCTAATGCCTGAAGTTTTCCAACAGGCAACAACAACAAAAATACTGCTGACTTTTCCCTTGTTTTCCACTATAAGTCAGTAAACTTTACATTTATAAACTTTCTTACGGCATCACAAAAGTTTGTTTTTACTAATAAAGGAATTTGGTTTTATGTGTTCCTTGTCTGCAGAGGTAAAAACAAATAGCAAATATCCAAGATATGATGAAATTACAAGGCAATTCACCTTGTCTGCATGCTTCACTTATCTTTAAGCAAATTTTCTAAAGCATAAGGAGGTGGACATAAACCCAGGAAATGGTTTCCTGATATAAAGGAACGTATTCATCAGTGAAGTCACAGATATCTCAAGGGAGATCCATAGGTGACAGTGGCATTGGAAGCAAATGCAAGCACATTAAGCAGATTCCTTACTGATGGCATCCTGTTCTAAACACATGCCTTTCTTCCCCTTACTAGAATTATTTGATTATAAAAATCAAGGCCAAAATAAGAGTAGGCCTGTACCAGTATATTGAAAAACAGTACAGTGAAAAATCATATTATTAAGATTCTTATATTTCCAGTCTATATATTAAACCATTTTCCTGTCACCTGTAATATGCAGAGTATAAATCAAAGAAAAAGTTAACTGGCTTATTTGCAATGTCTATGCCTGATAAAATGTGAATATGTTTGTAAAGGACTTATATTTAGCAAGCTAGTATGTTTAATTAAGCTGTGCAATTTAAATTAAATTAAATTAAATTAATTTAAATTAAAACCAAATCCATTTTGCTTGCATTTTAGCTCTAAATCAAAATAATGTAAAAGATAGAAAAAGAAAAAAAGATTAAGAAATTACCTTACTACTTGGGTTTAAACAGGTATAAACAGCTATTCTAAAAAAATCCTTTAACATGGACAAAAATTCTTAAGATTCTTCTTCTGAGAAACTGGCTCAGGCCTTTTCTGTTTCACAAGATTAGGGAATGCATGAAATTGTGGGACCATCTGGTTACTTTTGAACAGTGGGAACACAAAAGGGAGTGTAGCTGGAGAAGCGGGTTTAAAATCAGCCTCGATGTGGTCTCAGAAAGAAGCTCTAAGACAGCTGAATAAACACAGCAGTATGCAGGCACAAATGAAGATCCAATATAAATAAAATACCAGGGGAGCTCTTGCACTAAAGAAAATTTATAACCCTCACCCCTTAATGTTTCCTACAAGAAAAATCGTCACGTAAGGAATGGCATAGAGAGTATGTGTGATGTACAGAGGTCTAGTGCTACATAGAGGAAAGCACTCTAGAAAACAGATCCGTACTTCAAGGATGCTTAACAGTCGATGTTCTCATTCATTAACAAACATTACAGAAGTGACTGACCCCGAGTACGAAACTCAGGAGTTTTTGGCTAGGCCCTTAAGGTAATATGGGAGTCAATTTACATCATAAGTCTACCCATATGGGTTTTCTCATGGGAAAGGTTTCCTGCAGGCCCAACTACTTCCCCTGGGCTCAGAATGAAGACCAGGCCTTCCAAGACTGGGATGATACTCTCAGTCCTTCATCAGAGCACAGCTGACTCCCTGGCAACACTAATTTGTCCAGGATTCATACCGTATCTGATGGAAGAAGCCCTTATTCCTCTCATGTCTGCACAATAACCAAGGGAACCTTCTGTCTTGTTCCCACATTGACTGGTGGGAAGTGAGATTTTTCTGCTTTTATTCATTGACACAGCTTTATATTTGTATACAGGGAAAAATTTTTAGGGACAGTCATTTTCTACCTTTTTTTTTTTTTTTTTTGCAGAAAAATATTTGAATTGGCATTGGGAACAACTGTGATGTGTCAATGATGAACAAGTTGACCTCTGTTATAACTTTTACTCAAAGAAATTGAGTATTTATAAATTATGTATTTGAGAAAAAATGAGGCAGGTCACAGATACATGGGTTTATACACTATATCTAGGTCCAGCAAAGTCCATATTCAAAATACGAGCCCTTGTGCTACTATGATGTGGTGTTTGATTTCCTTCTCTTACTTATTTTCATAAAATCCATTTATGCAAGAAGGCACATTCCAAAAAGAAGAGAATCTCTTACTGGAATCCTATATGCATTTAAAACTGCACCAGTTTGCTTACTGTTGACTTATTGTAATTAATCTCATACAGAAAATTGGAAGGTTCTATGCAGTGGGGATATAAAGTAAACCAGGCCCAGCAGCCTGCTACTTCTCTTGCCAGGCTCCTCTCTTCCCTCCCAAGGGTACATAAAGCAAAGCACACCATCAGTCCCCACAGGACAAACCCAGAAGCAGTCTCGTGATGCTGCTCCAGGAAGTGAAATACATCACTTCGGAGTTAGGCACCTCAGCTGAGTCTCCCACAGATCAAAAGTCCATCCCAGAGAAATATGCGTAACACTACAAGTGAAAATGAGAAAGAGAAAACTTTCTTTCCTTTCAGCTACACTCTGTCTACACAAAACATCAGAAGCTTGCAAAATAAACACGCACGGTGTGGAAGAGATAAGGAGGGAGGTGCAAAACGCAGCTCTATCTCCTCCACATTACACTTTAGAGCCAAAATGTCTCTTTTTGTGTCTACCTTTGCATCTCTCACTGAGAACATAACTGCATTTCACCCCCACCATACTTGTGCACACAGGATAGGCCCAGCAATTTTGGGGCATGAGTCTTAGAAAAGCCATCAACCCACAGCCTGAAATAAACAACGACAGTCCCTGGAGAGCTGCAACAGGCACAGAGTGAGTCTTTGCAGACACACCATAGAGAAATAAAGCTTTACTACTTCTCACCAGTTAGCTTCTGCCATTGATTTACATTCCTCAAGCTCTTCATGAAAAGCCAGAAAGTTACTGTCAATAAAACGTGAATGCTGAGAAAGCGTACATTACACGGAGTGTTCCAACATCAGGGAGGACAGAGCTACAATGGAGCAGGATGGCTATATCTGCCATATAAGGATGCAGTAAGCGGGGGGCTGCTCTTTTAAAATAGATACATTTTAATGGAAAGTTTCACAATAAAAAAGGAAAGCTTTTCTGCATGCTTCTGTCATTTACCATCTTCGGAAGTATGGGCAAGCTGCCTGGCCCCTCTTCTCCTTTCCGGCAGGGAGGCCAGAGCGCAGTGCAGAAGGTTCAGTAAACAGCTGCTATTTAAGTGCAGCAAATCTCAGTTAGGAATGGCATTCCTTTCATCCCAGTTGAAGTCCTTATTTTCCATCTTTTTATTAAAACACTTCATGAGAACCATTACTGTAATACTCTAATTTGTTAAATTATTGTGCCAAATCAAATATATAAAGTGTAATAAAATAGAGCTCACAGCTCAAGATAGTAACATATCCTGAATGAAGAAGGTTCATCCCCGCCCAAAGTCCAGTTATGCTGAGATCTCATGTGGGTAATCCTAGCGTAGCTCTGGGTTAACTACCTCAGATCATGGCAGCACCTTAGTTACAAGAGCACAGACAACACAAGCTGACCAGGACCCTGGGTAGGAACTTCCTTGCTGACTGCTGGCATAAGCACAGATTCTCCCTATTCTTTAAATAATAATCAAACATAATTAGTAATACATAAATATTAAACAAACTTTATGAGCAGAACACATGCATCATACTATGAAGTACGTTTTTAAGAAATACCAGCCCCTTTGAAATTCACCTTGTCATCAAATCTGCATCTTGTCTTTCAAATCTTTTGCAGTTTTTGCTTGAAATTTGTTCCACCATCACCAGCCCTGAATCACTTCAGGTTTATCTGTTCCCTTGCTTAGAAACCTCCTTTGTGCTGTATTACAATTTATAATTTCCAACCTGCTATTCCTTCCTTGTCTGTGCAAAGGTGGAATGAAGTGCCACCAAGCAATGAGAAAACATGGTGCTGTTAAACTTATTGCTTAAAACAGGGATAAAAGGGAATAAATACAGTAATGGTTGGAAGGCATTTCAGGATCTCTAGGGAAGGAAAAGGAACAAGCAGGATAGCTTGTCCCAAACTTCCTGGGAAAGAAGAACCCAGCAGGGGCAATGACAGTACTTCCTACTTCCATATAAAGTCACTCTTAGCTTTCAGCCTTGAATTTAAGTACATCCTTGGATATTTCACATACTATCCACTGCACATGTAGACTGCAGGGTTTTTAGATACAATATAACCTCAGTTGCCAAGACTTCTTTGCAACTGAAGTGTAGGAGATTCATTACTTTCTAATTTAAAACAATTCCATAACAAATTTTATTATTACAGATAAAAAAAATTTAACTTTAGAAAGATTGCTCATCTTTTTTCTTAGGAAAAGAACACCTACTGAATTTCTTTCCCATTAGATTCTCATCCTTTACTGTACCATGTTATTTTCCTGTCCACAGTTTTTAAGACTTTCTGACAAATTCAAATTACTGAATCCAGTAATTCTGAAGTAATTAGGAGCTCTGATAATGCTATGCATCTTTTAATCTAATTACTAATGATGAGGACTATTTTCTCAGAAATCCTGAAATTCTTCCAAGTTCAAGACAGACACGCTTTATGGCATAATTTCTTAAAGGCAGAATGAGCCACAATAGACTGACAACTACTTCTATAACACTGTAGCAGACCACATACCAGGCAAAACGGTGTCCAGCTGAAGAGTGCCGACCTCAGTGGAAGGGCCGGCCAGGAGCGTTTGATGCTGGGAGTCAGCTGGCTTCTTTGAAAATACACAGTCCCCTCTTTCTCGGACCTGGCGATACTGCTTTCCTGGAATGCAAACCAGAACCTGTGGCATAGCACGTACAGACTTGAGCAAACAACTCTTCCAGTGTTCCTCTCTGTGAAGGCACTTCCTACTTCATGGACCACAACAGGTTTCAAAGCTGTAGACAGGAGGTTATATGAAAGGAACATTCTTCCTCCCAGTCACCCCATTTGGGCTCCCTGGTCCATGCTCCTTGTTTATGGGGAGAACCCTTCTCCATGCCAGGGTCAGTGCAAGCCATGTCCCCTCCAGCACCTACTCCTGACAGACTCATTTGCTTTGGCAGGGTTTTGCCCAGTTAAAAAATATTTCTAATATTCTGGAAAGGTTTGGATAATGCTTTCAAAAAACAATGGTAAAGAACAGTGAGAGAGACAGACAAAGGACACAAGGATGAGCATTACTGAGCATTAACAACCAAGTTTCACCGTAATGGATGTAGCCTGTGGAAATACTGCTCTCATAGGAGGTAATGAACTTTACTTCAGCACAAGAAAGCCTATCATCTGAGTACTTGTGCCACAGAGGAGCTTACCTGCCTCTCCCTCACAGCTGTGTTAAGCAGCATACTTGGGTAGAGATGGCCGTGAGCAATCTTGAAAAGAAAACATTTTCAAACACACCATGGACTTTTTTTTTTTTTTTTTTTTTTTTTTTTTTTTTTTTTGTGCTGCACACATTTTTCCAATCTAAAAGAGAGCACTTTGTTCTCTTCTGGTCGTGGCAAATGCAAGATTTTTGAGGAACAGCAATTACTGGAAACAAAATAATTCTGGAAATCCTTCCTTAGAGGGAAGTACAGTCTTAGATAAATTGTTTTTCTTCCATAAACATGCATCAAAAATATACATGCCTGAGACCCAGAAACTTTAGTGAAACAGCACTTCATAATGTAAAGGATAGAGAGCAATCAGAAGTTGTTTCTTTTCTGCTTTATGGCAACCATGGAGATTTCCCCCAAATGTCAAAGCACAAATGCAGACTTTGTCACCACAGTGGAAAAATCCTTGTATCTCTAATCGAGAAAATGTTAAAGTTGTTTGTAGCAGCTCAGCATGCAAAATGATAAAATGGAAAGGTCAAAAAATTACCCAAGCATCAGAATTCTGACAAGTTGGCATCACAAAGGTAAATTAGTTTCTGCAGGCATTATTTGGATTCAAATTCCTCAAACCAAAATATAGATCAGACCCTGCAACCTGTATCTCTAGAATTCTGCCATGTCCTGACAAAATGACTAAAGGGAACACTAAGATTTTTATAGATTATCACGTACTCTGTGCCATAGTACAGTATAACTGTTATTCGAGAAACCCACATAATTTGTCAGTTCAAAATGTTTAATAAGAAAGCAGCAAGCCTTGTTCACACAATTAACACTGTTCTGATGCTATAAAAACTGTTACACATTGTAAATTTTGGTCCAGATACTTACTGGTTTTTCATCAATATGAAATCCATATCAATTTTCAGGAAGATTTTTAACTAGGAATTGTACCTAAATGCTCTTCAAGCAGTTTGACTGCTAACAAAAATTATACTTATCTATACATTACCAAATCTCCATTCTGTGTCTTTCTAGCTATTGGCAGCTAGAAAAATTTCATAGAGATTTGCTCTATAAAAGTACCTTCTGGGTTTCATGCTAAATATTCTTTATACTCTGACAGTAAGATTCATTTCCTTTTGAAACTGTTTAGGTAAAAAAAAAAGACACATAAGTATATCATCATTCAGAAATCAGTTCCTGAAAATTGAAGGAGTCTTGCAAGCACCACACAAAATTAAGAACATGGTACATTAGGCCTCCCCGTTTAAACAACACTTGAAATACAAACCCCACATAGCTTTTTTCCATGCTGACTAAGCAGAGTTGCAAAGTGGAAGTTGACATGAGATTTATAGCATTTTCTTGTTTATCTAATGGCTCTTTGGAGCAGGTTACCTTCTTAGGAAAATGCAGCCGGGTCAAAATCCACATTCCAGTGTGTTGGATGGAACAGCTAAAGCTTGGCACCAGGGCCTCCTGGCATCCGAGCAGCAGCCAAGAGATGTCTTCTGTTTCTTTAGCTCACATGTCACAGGCTGCACACACAACAGTCATTTGGAGATTGCCCCCTTCAGAGATACAAGATCTGTGAGAGCTTTCAGCTCAGCTACCGCCCACCCGGGAACCCGCAACTCTGGTGCTGCTCAAAACCCGGCATTTCCTCCCTCTTGTGGCAGGCTCTTCGTGCAGCCCATCACAGGACGTGTTTAACACTGCTCTGTTTATACTGTTTAGAAATAGGTGCCCCACATCACAGAATAATTTAGGTTGGAAGGGATTTCTGGTGGGATGTCATCTAGTCCAGCCACCTGATCCCAGCCCAGGTAACTTCAGAGTTAGACCAGGTTGCTCAGGCCCTCATCCACTGGAAGTTTCAATGTCTTCCGGGAAAAAGATTATACAACCTTTCCAGGCCCCTGTTCTAGTGCTTGCATAACACAGATTCCCACCCCCCCA